TTCGCACATCACTGAGCAAAGTCGCAGAATCGTTTTCAGTGTCTGATGACGAATTTCCCCACGAATCATTATCACTCAATTCTGCAAGTAGTTCTAATTTACTATCACTGTTCTCTAGCTGGTCTAAAACCGCTTTTGACCTAAAGGGACGCTTTTTGGACGCCATGGACGTTTCTCAGTTTCCAGGCAGAAAGAACAGTAAATATGCAGGCAGGGCACAGGACAAAGCAGTAGGGACACAATGTATGTGAAATGGTTTGATATAGTAATGTTTTACTATGTGAGTTTAGTGATTTTAGTGAATGTCACTTTTTGTCATTTTCAACTTTTCCACCGTTCCGTCCCCCGTACGTCCCGATGCTCGCAGGGGACGGAACCCAGATGACAGATGCCGGCATCCGCTGGATTACATTGCCGGAGACACTGCAGGAGGTAAGTGATCGAGGGATTGCAATGTCTCATGGTAAGCCCGAGTGTAGCTCGGGGTTACCGCTTGTCATACTGAAACTTTACCCCGAGCTACACTCGGGAATACCGCCAGGGAGGCTACAGCACCATTACACTGGAAACTGAAATATGGCCTCGTAATTAAGGGGTATTACTGGCTGGTTCTCAAGTGGTTAAACCAATCCTGAATACAGTCTTAGATTAGAAAAACACAAACTTTAATGAAGCAATAATGAAGAAGAAATAAAAATAAAGTAGAAAGATAGGAACAATCCGTGTTACACTGGTGATCCTGGCTGGATTGCTTTGGAGAACACAGCAGGGAGTGAAAACATTTGCCTGTTTCCTTGTATCATGTGCTAGCTGACTGGAGGAGTAAGACAGTATTCTCAATGCCAACAGCAGCATTTTTGGCAGCAAAGTTGTAATACAACACTGCTGAAGCCAACACACCTACAAAGCAGGTGTGTGTCTTTCCTGTACTTTCTAGCAATCCTGTCAATGTAACATAGATCAAAGGGAAGCAAAACAGAAATAGTGAATAGAGTGGATGAAATATGTCAGTGAAAGCAGAAAAAGTAAAAAAGGTAATACTTTTGTGAAAGCATTAGATACCAACCAATTGTCTCTGCCACGTGAGAAAAAAAAAAACAAATATCTGAAAGCTGCTGTCACTAAAAAGCTAGAAAATGGTGACTGTACTGTCCCCTTTCATTAATACCCAACAATATAATATATAGTGCAAATGACTGGAAATTGTGAAAAATATAAAAAAGCATAAATAGTCCAATTCATCTCTGTAAATGATGACTTCACTTCAAAACCAACCCCACCCTACATGTTTAACCCTTCCGGCATCTTCAGGGATGTCCCTGTAACTCAGTGGTTCTCAACCTTCCTAATGCCACGACCCTTTAATACAGTTCCTCATGTTGTGGTGACCCCCAACCATAAAATGATGTTCGCTGCTTCAAAACTAACTGTAATTTTGTAGTGGGAGGAATAGTGCCCCATCGTTGGTATCAGTGGGAGGAATCGTAGTGTCCCATCATTGGTATCAGTGGGAGGAATAGTGCCACATCATTGGTATCAGTGGGAGGAATAGTGCCACATTGTTGGTGTCAGTGGGAGGAATAGTGCCACATCATTGGTATCAGTGGGAGGAATAGTGCCACATTGTTGGTGTCAGTGGGAGGAATAATGCCCCATCATTGGTATCAGTGGGAGGAATAGTACCCCATCATTGGTGTCAGTGTGGGAGGAATAATGCCCCATCCTTGGTGTCAGTGGTGGAGGAATAGTGCCCCATAATTGATGTCAGTGTGGGGGGGGATAGTGCCTCATCATTGGTGTCAGTGGGGGGGGGATAGTGCCCCATCATTGGTGTCAGTGGGGGGGGAATAGTGCCCCATCATTGGTGTCAGTGGGGGGAGGAATAGTGCCCCATCGTTGGTGTCAGTGGGGGGGGGAATAGTGCCCCATCATTGGTGTCAGTGGGGGGAGGAATAGTGCCTCATCGTTGGTGTCAGTGGGGGGAGGAATAGTGTCCCATCATTGGTGTCAGTGGGGGGAGGAATAGTGCCCTATCGTTGGTGTCAATAGGGGGGAAATAGTGCCCCATCATTGGTGTCAGTGACACCAATGATGGGGCACAATTCCTCCCACTGACACCAGTGATACTTACCTTGCTGACCCCTGCTCCAGCCTGGGCTCGCTCCCTCCCTCTCCCATCTACAGCCAGCATAGCTGGCTACAGCAGCACCATCTGCACGGTACATACACTTACCAGTCAGCTGTCTTCCTTCTCCGGCCGCTCCCCCTCACTCGATCTTCTTTGATATTCGCGCTGGCGCTCAGCTCCACCTCCTCACCGGTGATTTTCCGGCTGTGTGCCTCTCCTGAGCTACAGTTCTGGTGGCCAATCACCGGAGAGGAGGCAAAGCTGTTGAGTGATCCCGTGATCCCGGGGGTGTGCCCAGATGACAGGGGCGGCATGTCATCCTGCCCAAACATTGCTGTCCAGGGAAATGTGGGTGTATCTGCATGTGGGCGGACCCGCCTGGAGACGGATAGAGGAGCGATGCCTCGGCTCCTAAGACCATTGGAAATATGTGTTTTCCGATGGTTTTAGGCGACCCCTGTGAAAGGGTTGTTCGATCCCCAAAAGGGTCGTGACCCACAGGTTGAGAACCGCTGCTGTAACTAATGTTTGTGGTGGAGGAGATCACAATGTTGACACACTGATTGGAGGAAGGATTCTATTTGAAACACAAGCACTTTTTCTTGGATGAACTTTGCACATAGATTTTGTTGCACCTAAACTTATTTAATTGCGACATTTTACTCATTGGTATGCACTGGATATTTACACCCTGTTCCAAATTATTATGCAAATGATATTTTTCTCATTTACCTAATTAATTGACATAAATAACAATCAGCATAATTCTCATGTTATCAACTATTAAGAGTAGAATTCAAATTTTATTGAACAAACCTCCTAATGATAACAGTATTTTTAAAAAAAAACTTACAATGCACTGTTCCAAATTATTACGCACAGTAAGTTTCAAAACACTTTATAGGTTGTAAAGAACTGAAAATTGTCATTTGTTGTTTTTGCAGCATATTTACTGAAATCAAAAGCTATTTCAATCAAACTTTTAACAACATTTTAACTTTTAAACATTTTAACAGGTCACGTTACATTTTAACATAGGACCCCCTTATTTGATAGCAGCTTCACAAGTCTTGCATCCATTGAACTTGTGATTTTTTGGACAGTTTCTGCTTGAATTTGGTTGCAAGATGTCAGAATAACCTCCCAGAGCTGCTGTTTGGATGTAAACTGCCTTCCACCCTCATAGATCTTTTGCTTGAGGATGCTCCAAAGGTTCTCAATAGGAATGAGGTCAGGGGAGCATGGAGGCCACACCATGACCTATTCTCCTTTTATCCCCATAGCAGCCATTGATGCAGAGGTATTCTTTCCAGCATGAGATGGTGCATTGTCATGCATGAAGATGATTTTATTACGGAAAGCATAGTTCTTCCTTCTGTACCAGGGAAGAAAGTGGTCAGTCATAAACTCCACATACTTTGCAGAGGTCATCTTTACACCTTCAGGGACCCTAAAGACCAGCGCTGTTCCCATGATTTCAGCCCAAAACATGACTCCACCACCACCTTGCTGAGGTCGCAGCCTTGTTGGAACAGGGTAGCCGTCCACCAACCACCCACTACTCCATCCATCTGGACCATCCAGGGTTGCACGGCACCCATCAGTGAACAGGACTGTTTGAAAATTAGTCTTCATGTATTTTTCTGCCCAATGCAGCCATTTCTGCTTGTGAGCATTGGTTAGTGGTGGCCGAATAGAAGGTTTATGCACAGTTGCAAGACTCTGGAGGACTCTACACCTTGATGTCCGTGGGACTCCAGAGGCACCAGCAACTTCAAATATCTGTTTGCCGCTATGTAATGGTATTTTAGCAGCTGCTCTCTTGATCCGATGCATGGACCTGGCAGAAATCTTCCTCAATGTGCCTTTATCTGCACGAACCCGTCTGTACAGTGAATCAGCCGCAAATCTCTTAATAGTGCGATGATGACGCTTACGTTTTCGTGAAATATCTAATGTTTTCATTAGAGATGAGCGAAGTATTCAAAAATTCGATTCGACTGATTCGGCGAATTCGTGGACAATATTCGATTCGAGTCGAATATATTCGCTGTGAATTTAACTTAAAAAAGGGTGTTTCTAGGCTTCAGAGAGACTTAATATTAGTGCAGAACACTGTACCTTTAATTTAAATGCCCTTGGAGTCTGCTGGGGAAGAGAAATAATACTGTCAGTCAGTATGACATGCAGATGAGTGCCGTCGATCTTAGAATCACCGCACACTTCACTCATTTGGCCAGTCACGGGGCCAAAACCAGTGTTTGGAGCCACAGTGTGGCGGTGGAGGCAGCAGCAATGGGAGGCCATACAGCAACCTATGACAAAATGGAAACCAGCAGGAGTGTGAGGAGACCTCAAAGTGGCACATGGAAGAGTGGGAGCAATGGGAGGCGGTACAGGGACCCATGTCACACAGTGGACCCTGCAGCAGCGTGACGAGGCGGTACGGGGGCCCATGGCAGATTTGGGGCCTGGCAGCACCTATGGGAGGCCTGTAATCTGCCAGCAACCTATGACAAAATGGAAACCAGCAGGAGTGTGAGGAGACCTGAAAGTGGCACATGGCAGAGTGGGAGCAATGGGAGGCGGTACAGGGACCCATGTCACACTGTGGACCCAGCAGCAGCGTGACCAGGCAGATTACAGGCCTGGCAGCAGCAATGGGAGGCCTGTAATCTGCCAGCAACCTATGACAAAATGGAAACCAGCAGGAGTGTGAGGAGACGTGAAAGTGGCACATGGCAGAGTGGGAGCAATGGGAGGCGGTACAGGGACCCATGTCACACTGTGGACCCAGCAGCAGCGTGACCAGGCAGATTACAGGCCTGGCAGCAGCAAATGCGGAGGCAGTTATTCCTGCCAGCACCCTTATGACAAAACATGGAAAACACAACAGCAGTGTTGTGAGGAGACCTGAAAGTGGCACATGGCAGAGTGTGGCGATGGTGACAGCAGCAGCAATGGGAGGCCGTACAGGGAACCCATGAGAGACTATGGATCCTTGGCCAGCAGATGAGGAGAGTGTGGTATAGGGGACCACATGGCAGATTAGGGGACCTGGCAGCAGCTATAGCGAGGCCCGTAATCTGCCAGCACCCAAGACAAAAAATTTACAAACACATCACCAGTGTGTGTCTGTGTTGTGAGGAGACCTGAAGTAGGCACATGGCAGAGTGTGGCGATATGGAGGGACAGCAGCAATGGAGGCCGTACAGGCGAACCATGAGAGGGACTCTGGACCTGGGCCAGCAGCAGTGAGGAGGCGGTATAGGGGGCCCATGGAAGATTAGGGGCACTGGCAGCAGCTATAGGAGGGCCCGTAATTCTGCCAGCACCCTATGTCAAAAAATTCAACACACCAGCAGTGTGAGGAGACCTGAAAAGTGGCACATGGCAGAGTGTGGCGATGGAGACCGCCAGCAAATGGGAGCCGTACAGGGACCCTGACAGACTCTGGACTTGGCAGCAGCATTTAGGAGGCGGTTTTTGGGCCCCCTGGCAGATTAGGGCCTGGCGCGCTATGGGGGGGCCCGTAAATCTGCCCGCACCCTATGTCAAAAAAAAATTTAACACAACCGCAGTGTGGGAGGGCCTGAAAGTGGCACATGGCAGAGTGTGGCGATTTGGGGGCAGCAGAATGGGGGGCCGTAAAAGGGACCCCTGACAGACTCTGGACTTGGCAGCAGGATGGGGGGGCGGGTTTTGGGGCCCATGGCGATTAGGGGCCCGGCCCGCAGTATGGGAGGCCCCTTTAAACTGCCCGCCCTATGTCAAAAAAAAATTAAAAACAAACCCGCAGTGTGAGGGACCCGAAAGTGGGGACATGGCAGAGGTTTTGGCGATTTGGGGCAGGGAGCAATGGGAGGGTGTACAGGGACTATGAGGAACCCGGGGTTGGGGAGCGCATGAGGAGGGCGGTATAGGGGCCCTTTGGGAGAAATTTGGGGGTGGCAGCGTATGGGAGGCCCCTAATTGCCAGCACCCTTGCAAAAAAATTTGGGAAACCCCCCAAGCAGTGTGTTTTTAGGAGGGCCTGAAAGTGGCACATGGCAGAGTGGTGGCGATGGGGGACGCGCAAAGGGGACCCGTACAGGGGGCCCCTGAGAGACTTGGGCCCGGCGCAGATTTTAGGAGGTGGTATAGGGGCCCATGGCGATTAGGGGCCTGGCAGCAGTATAGGGGGCCCCTAATCTGCCAGCACCCCTTTTTTTTTTTTTTTTTTTGAAAAAAATTGAACAACACCAGCAGTGTGTGAGGGACCTGAAAGTGGCACATGGCAGAGTGGGGGCGATGGAGACGCAGCAATGGGAGGGGCC